CCTGTCACGCTACCCTCTCCCTGTCACGCTACCCTCTCCCTGTCACGCTACCCTCTCCCTGTCACGCTACCCTCTCCCTGTCACGCTACCCTCTCCCTGTCACGCTACCCTCTCCCTGTCACGTTACCCTCTCCCTGCCCCGCTACCTTCTCCCTGTCACGCCACTCTCACGCTTCTGTAACTCTCACTCTAGCGAGGTAAAATTTAAGTTTATTCACTTAAATTTGGACCGACCAGAGTTCAGAGATTCTCGTGTCAGTACAGTTAATTAAGTATAACATTGTATTTAAATATGAAGTAGTTCATTTGCCTAATAAGATTCTGAAATTGTTAGAATTTATTTATACGGTAACGCCACATGCTAATTTACGCGCCTTTGTCGCTAGAATTACTTTCATTTAGCGACTTCGTCGCTTGTATTCCTGCCAGTTGGCGGCACTGCCTGTAGAGCGGCAACACTCGTTCGTATTCTAGCCTCGTGCGTCAACCTCACACTCTTCTATTGTGCAAGTTACACCTCTACCATATTCCTTATTTGTTCCACATGTTTGTTCGTAAAACCTCTTTTAATTTAATCTATACACGTACTAAGCTTGAAATTTTGCTTGGTGGCCGTTGGTAATTATTAGTGGGGAGTAACGGAGACATTTTACTTTTTTACTTGCACTTGTAGTTGCGTCACCCTTTGTGAAATGTCAATTCTCCGAAATCCGCACGTTTTGAATTTATAGTTCGTTGTTTAAATCGAACATTTAACTCCAAGTTCTCAATCTATATTACCGTTTAATTAAACCGGAGATTAATTTATGAGATAATACCCAACAAATTTGCAGTAAACATTAGAAATAGTTTCTCTGCTGACTTTTAGGAAAAAAACTAGATAGTTTTTAAAATCGCGATGACGAGATCGCTTCCAAGCGAAAAAGTTATCTCATCGTACTAATACTACAGATCGATATGTAATAAAACTAATAGCCCTACGAATTTGTCTTGCACATCACGTTGATGCGCCTGTATTTACGCAATATTACGATAATGTTTAAAAAGTAAAACTTTGCAGCAGTCCGATCGATGTTCATTTTTTTTTAGCGGGAGGTCCTGCTGACTAGCCGGTCCATCGGACCAAATGTTTCAGCCAGACGTCATTTGTGAGTCAGAGACGTCAGTGTGGCACCGGCCTTGAACGAGTGAGGTTGTCTTGCGATTGGTGCTCTAGTCACGTGCATTAATTCAGCGAAGATAACGCGGGAACAGCGTTTTGAATAACCCTAAACACTTCTTTCAAAGGTAGTTCATTAGACTATTATTTAAATTAATTTATTTCTCTGAAAACCTGTATATTACGAAGTTTATTGCTAATTTGTAAGACATGTCGTGCGACTGGTGAGAGTGAGGATGGCAGCCGGCGGTGGAGATGCAGCTACGTACAAAAACTTGCTGAATGTTATCAGATTGTAAACTTATTTCCTGTGATGAGTGAGTGAATTTTCTTGCGTGACAGGCATTTATATCTGTATTCTTACTTAGCTGCTCTGTTAGGAGGTGTGTAGACAGATAATAGGAACTATTTCTAAGCAAAAGTGAAAAAGCTTCGTCGCCATAACGTGGTTATTGAACCCTACCGTTCGTAGTTCTAACCAGTATTGTACGGTTCTAGTAACGGGCGGCGAGTTGAGTGAAGATAAAAAAAGTCGCCGGGTGGCGACTTTAGTGGCATTGTAGCTAACAAAGCCAAGACGAACCAAAATATAGGCAGACATGATACAATATTTTTATCCCCAACATATTTATAACGATCTCCTCCGTTTTTTAACTTTGTTTTTCGAAGTTAAAATTATTTTTGAAGTTTATTAGTAGCATTTGTATATTTGTAGCATATTTCCACATGGCGGAATTTTAGATAGGAAATTTATTGACAGCCAGAAGAGGTAAACATTTTCTTTGATCTGAAGTCCGGAAAATAAGAATTCCCTTTATATTTTATAATCTACCTAATATTTTTGTTTTAATCATTTTATTTGATCTGTAGTCCAGAAAATAAGAATTCCCTTTATAATTTACCTAATATTTTCGTATCGATCAAGTGACCAAACTGAAGCAACAGTGCGTATGAGAGCAACTGTTCCTAGAGTTACACGCTGCCCGCCTGCTGTACGTGTGTTGCAATACGTTGTGACTAACACGGTTACATGGAATTCTAACGTTGAAATTCGATAGAATTTCTACGAATTTTGGTCAGATTAACGACCAATATGTCGTTATTATGACCAAAGATAGTTGATCTGATTTCTAAAGACTGGAAAGCTAGACTAACTATATAGTCATTTATCTTGTATTACGACAACGAATTAATGATAACTTCGAACTCGTTAGAACTTGTATCGAACGTTTCATTGTTTTCTGAACATTTAAATTTCATGGCGATTTTAATTATTATATTAAACTTCACTACGCATTATAAATATGTCGGCGTCTCCTAATTGTAGCTAGAAATTGGCGCCTTAATGCATAAATTGTAGCTAGAATTGTTACGTCTAGCCTGAATGGTCCCCGATTCGAGATATATGGTTCAGATTTTGCAGCTAACTGTGACTCGAACCTGTAACTCGCTGCTAC